GCTGGGTGTGTCTGCGGCGGGCAGCTGCCCGGGTGCGCTGCCCCGGGGACGGGGTTGGCGGCCTGGGAGGGATGGCGGCCGAAGGGGTGGGCAGGAAAGGTGTTCCCGCAGGACCTGCTGCGACAGCTTGGCGTGCAGCAGCTTCCTCCGCAGACAGTGCAGGCCCGTTCTTAGGGTTGTTGGGGTACCAATAATGAAAAGCTGCATCCTCGCAGGAATTGGGGTATCCGGAAAATCTTTGGGGCAGCCTGAAAACTAAGGGAGCTTTCAGCTGAGAACTGCCTGCGACCTCTAGTTAGATCCTCATTTATCGTTCACGTACGTGAGTGAGACTTGTGTATTGCACGTGGCTCCGTGTAGAAGTGAAAATGTTATTCGAAGAAGGAGCTCTGAAGGTCTGCACTAACAGCTAGGACATTGCACAGAAACCTTAGTCTCGGATGAATCTCTGTAAGTTCGCTTCTTAAAACAAGCAGATAACGTGAACGTGTTGGAAGAATTCCAGCAGAAAGTGGCACGTTCTAGGATTTGATTAATCCTAATTTTAATCCTTAAAATTAATCCTTTATTACTTGGTTTGCTAAAATAGTTAATATATTTAACTAGAACATTAGTTCCCAGTCTGTGATATTTATTATGGTATAGAAAATATCATTAAAACCCAAGCTTCTAAATGAGTGAATAAACAGGGTGAATGAAACATACCTGTGTAAGAAAACCTGTCAGAGCAGACTGTGTAACTCATAAACCATTGGCCTGTCAGGTGGTTCCCTTTTTTATTTTTCTCTTTGGCATCATCCAAGAAAACCATTACAGCTCATGGTCTTCACTGACTTGCTGAAGACCTGGTATTTATGAAAGACTGAAATATATACATGAAAGATTTACATGAAATGTATGTGTTTTGATCTTTGCTGGTCAGAAATTGACCTGTCCAGTAAATAGACATTATTAATTGCTCGTGTTTAAATAACAGCAGAAACTATAGCAAAATGTCCCTCAGCGAATTTAGACCTCAAGCAGCCCTTGAATTCTTACAGGAAAACTTTGTGCGTTTTTATTTCCAAGAAGACCACCAAAAATGTGCCAAAACCAACTAACCAAACAAAAACCCACTAGTTTTTGTTGTTTGCGGAGATTTCTTAGCAGCAAGAGTTGTGTTTTGGAATGCACAACCAAACATGCACATTACGGTGTGATTATTGTGGTGGCAACTTAGAACTAAATTGCACAAGATGTTTTAAATGGAGTTGTGGTCATAATGGTCCTTCTTCAGCTGAATGTTGTAAAATATTTGGGTTTGGTTTCTAAAGAGCAAATTTCAGAGTTTGTGACTCAGCTGATATTATAAAGGAGAAATGACACAAAAATGGAAACATGCTTTATCTGCTGAAGAGCATTTGAGCACAAATTCTGTTTTCTGCTGTCCTTTAAAGATTGATTTTGACATACTATAAATGATGAGTTTTTGAATTAAAATACATGCATCCAAAAGTTGCTGCATCCTTAAATCAGAATGTAATTTTCCACGGGAAACAGTATTGCAGCAGTTCGGCCATTTGAATATCTCCTGTGCGTTATGGTGCAATCCGTTGTAGCTGACTCGTTCCCTGCAGCAAGGCAAAAGTACAGTTATGTTTGCCTAACTCTGTAAGCTTTGGACTATGGCTTCTTGGGACATTCAGAGGCAAAGCATACCTTATCAGGCCTCTTAAAAAATTTTTGCAAAACTAAGGAATAGTAGTTTTGAGCTGAGCCTTGTTGTAGCTATGTTGGAAACTCAGTGGAGCACGGGAGTTTGCCTTGGCTTGTGTCAGAGTTGCCAGGTCTCTCTTTGTTTCTCCTGTGGCCCACTGGTGAGGGCATAGAGGGTCGACCCAAGTGTGCTACTGTTTCACCATTTCACAGTAGATTCCCTGGGTCAGAGAGTGACCACAGAAACTGCTTTAGAGGGGGGAACTGGCAGCTTCAGCTCATAAAGCCACTCGAGTGACTTCTGTCTAAGGAGTGGGAGAAGCATGGCTTTTTTACACAAAACTTCAGACAGTGACTTCTGCAGGCTGCGACATTAGTCTGAAGATAAAGCTAAAGTTTAGTTTAGTTACTTTAGTATGTATGAAAAATACCACTTTGCTTTTTTACCTAATGTCACTTGTTACTCCATTAATGAGCAAATGACATTCAGCTTAAAGCACCTTACCCCATTAACTTCATTGAAAATTGTGAATGTGTGTGACATGGAATTGGTTAGAGAAGTAATTTTTTTTAATAGCAGGTTTTCAGTGTTAAAAGGTACTTGTTCGAGGAGGTACTGGTCATATTTATCTTATTTCACCATTGTTGACATTGGAATGACATAAGTTTGAGGAATCAATTGTGCAACTGCTAGTCTTTTTGTCTAAAAGGTAACAGGTAGTTAAACTTTTTTTTTTTTTAATATTGAGTGGATACTTTTACTGATTGAGCCACAAATGCTGGGCTTGGAACTGAACTGGTCCTGCTTTATGCAGGTCTGGGGAAAGCTTGACATTGTCTGCTTACTCAAGGTGTCTAAATATCAAAAGCAGAGGCCATGCCTCAGTGGTCTCTACTTCTGGAGTATTAGTATGTTTATAAGTACAGTAAGACCTGCAAGCATCCCCATTAAACATTTATGGTAGTAAGATACAAAGTAAATGTTGGCTATGTTATGTTTCTTGTTAGCATGCAAATGGACGCTAAGTGTTTAAAATAGGATAAGGAGGATTAAAGAACTTGGGGATAGCATACTGGTCCACAGTAAGCTTTGGATTCTTCTGGGGTCAGTGTCTGGGAGAGCACCAGCCAAAACACAAGCTGTGAGGAGCAGGACAGCAATGCCAGAGCTAACTCTTGCTGTTTGTGGGCTGGGCTGCAGTTTCTTTTGGGTCACACGCACCACCTACTCTGCAAGAGTGCCCTAAGCTGTCTCTGCTAGACGACTGCTGGAGTACCCGATGCAGAGCATCTCCATCTGGCTGGGAACACTGCTCGGGACAGTAAAAAGGCCGGAACACCCCCCCACCACACACCCCCACCTGCAGCTTGCCATCCATGGTGATGCGGGCCTGGGCAGGCTGCTGCAGAAAGTCAGTTCTGCCCGGTACCTGGCTGTGCTCCTGTCCGAGAAGACTGAGACCCACCAAGCAAGAAGCGAGTAAAACAGACAAAGAAAAGAGAGGAACAGTCTGACTTCAGAAGTAGATACCTAGGGAAGAGTGAGAACTGTGCAAAGTGTATGTGATGCTTTCCTCTTACTCTGACCCAGGCTCTTCATTTTCACATCAGAGGATTTCCTGAATTTGTGGTTTGTCTATATAATAACTGAGTTTAGCTCTTTCTTCTGAGTGCTTATCTCACTTTCCCTAAACTCATGTGGGCTTCTTGCATCTTCAACATCAGCTGGCAGAGTTTCATCAGTCTGCTACTTGTGTGAAGAGCTACTTTCTTTTGAACCTTACTCCTACTAGCCTACTGTTATGGCTCCTGTTTCTTGTATTGGAAGAGACAGTGAGCAGCTAACAGACATCACCATTCTACTGATGCTTTTATTGACCTCAGTTTTCCTTCAAACCTGAAGTTGTCTCTCTGAATAAAAGTCAGTTGTCTTAAGAAAGCTATTTCCTACCTTTCGTCAGCCTTATTGTTTCTTTGAACTGTTTCCATTAATATGCTTTTTGAGGTAAAAGAACCAAATCTGCACAAAGACTTCAGAGTGTAGATGAACCTTGGTGGCACAGTGATGTTTCTTCTTGCATCTTCTACTTTTTTTTAATAGTTTCTAATATTTGCTGTTCTTTTACTGTGTGGCAACACTGTCTTGATGCTCTGATAGAGCTATTCCAGGGACTCACCCCTGAGGGTCATGGTTAGGTCAGAGCCCGGCATTGTATATGTATATACGTTACAAATGGAGCTGGGATTGTTTTACTTCATCTGTGATTAAGAATTTAAAAAGACTTCTTCCCTTTCCTGAAGACTCTGCAAGAAGGTAATCTCCTCTTCTGGGGGAGGATGAACATGTTTCTCACAGAAAATTGGGACTTTGACCAAGGCAGGAGGAGAGGAAGAGTAACCTGCTCTTGCTTCCTGTCCCATCCCACCGTCTTTGTCAAGCTGCATGTGAATGTGATCACATCATCACAAATAAATGGGTTTTCAAAAAAAGTAAAAATTACTCTTTAGTTGGTGTACATCAGCTAAATTAATTTATCTCTGGCTGTGTTAGATAATCATGCATGGTAGGTGTATATGTGATACAGAAATACTGCCTTACATAAATGTTGCACAAAATATACCTAGGTGCAGTTCTTCATGTTTCACAGCTGGGGCAACTGTGTTCCTGGTTTATTAGGCTTAAGAAGATAATTAATTGTCAGTAATTTGGTACTGAATTAATCAGTTGTTCCCTTGCAGTGTTTTCCTTCTGTCCCATGTGCAGTGTGGATTTCAAATAGGGATTGTTACATGCCTGTTGCCTGGGTGGATACCACCTGAATTCTTACTGTATGAGTTCTTCAGTTTGGTTTTAACAAAGCACCAGTTCTGTAAACTGTAAGAAAAGTTACTAATTCTTCAAAAGAAACAGAGTCTTTTGTCAGGGTGATGCATTTTGTACAGTGGGCAGCTGAGGTCTTAAGGCTCTCAGTGCTGTCACCAGTGGGTCTGCTAGGCTACACAATGCTAGGAGTTGTGACTTTTAGTGAGAGAGGTGCTCAAACTAGAAAAATGGCTTAGCTTTGAAGATATAATTAGAAAAATACCTATGACTATCTGTGTGTCTTTGTTCTTTTTTTTTCCCCCTTCTTGCCCATTTTTTTTAACTATCTGCTTTCAAAAAGGATGTAGTGTTTACCAATCTTTGAAATACATATTTTTTTTTCTTTTTCCATAGTCCACTCAAGAGGCCTTTAGAATAGAATATGATACATTTGGTGAACTGAAGGTCCCAAGTGACAAATATTACGGTGCCCAGACCGTGAGATCTACAATGAACTTCAAGATTGGAGGTGTTTCAGAAAGAATGCCAGTAAGTTATTCAAAGCTGTGTTCATTTCTTCTCTTTAAGTACGTTTTGGATGTGAGAGTGAATACTTCCTTCTTAGAGTTTTGTGAGGAATATGAGCAACTCTGAATTTTAATTAAAGTTAGAAATTCCATGGCAAGATACTGTTCTGCGTTAGAAATATTTTTTGTTTCATTTAAATAAATTGAATGTTGCTTTTGAATAATATTTTACTGTGTTCCTTAATTTTTTTAATAGCTGGGATGCATAGAGATCTGGCAAAAAAATGAATGGAAGTTTGTTTCCTAGAGCGTTGTGTAGTTTGTTATTGAAGATGTTAAGTGTGGTATAAGTTGCTATGAAGTTATTTTTCACATGTAGCTGTGCATCAAGCATTAGTGTGCACACGCTCTGTCATGCACTGGGTTTCCATGTCTGAAACAATGTCAGTTTGCTCTCAAAAACGCTATTTTAGAAATAGAACCAGTTCTCCTTTTTTGTTCATTTTAATGCATGTAGTCTGTTTCGATACACAAAGCATACCTGGATTTACAAAGAAAGGATGAGCTGTGTACTGCTTTCTGGACTGCTTAGGTTAATGTCACTGAGAGCACAGGTCATGTGACCTGATTGCTCTTTGGCTTGGTTGATCAACTACTGCTGCATTTAAGTTCAGAAGGAGTTTGTTTTAGAGCTAGATCTGTGCTATAGGTTCCTAAAAATGCCCTCTGGGGGAAAAAAAACCCTGTATTTAAATTTATTCTTGTGTCTCAGGTTCAAGTTATAAGGGCTTTTGGCATCTTGAAGAGAGCAGCTGCTGAAGTAAATCAAGATTATGGTCTTGACCCAAAGATTGCTAATGCTATTGTAAAGGCGGCAAATGAGGTAGGAGCAAACTGTTCAAAATACGATAATTGTCACTGTGATTTTTTTTTTTAAGCTTTTCACAGCAAGTTTGGAGGCAGAGCTCTTGCTTTTTTAGAGGAAGGCATTCTTAGTAATTTTTGTTTTTCAGGTTGAGAAATCATTTACTTAATATAATGTTTTATTACTTCTTCCATTTCTAGAAATGGTAGAATGGTCAAATACATTTTGATACTTAACTTATAAAAACAATGTTAATTTTCCCCCTTTATTAAGTCTACTCATTACTTGCATAGTGTTGACTCTTACCAGATAAACAATATTAAAAAAAAAACCTAGGAGGGAAATAGAATCTCAGTTCATTCAGCTAACGTGAAGTCTGACATGCCAAGCGAAGCTTTTTTGTTTTGGAAATCTCCAATCTCCTAGGTAATTGCATCTTGGTATTGTGAAGACCATCTGCAATCTGAAAAGTTTCTCTGTTACTAGTCTATTTCCTCTTCAGATTTAAGCTTACTGGTAAATCTGTGCTTTTAAGTATCACTTTTATAGCTAAAGAGGACATGATGTGATACACAGAGGCATCTCCTCTTTCTCAGGACAAATGCCACCCAAGCGCACAGTTGTGAATGACCATTATCTGAGGTATGGTAATACGAGATCTGTGGTTTTGCGTAAATCAACAGATGTATTTATCCAGAGGCATTGTTTTACAGAGCTTTTCTCTTCTGACTAGTTTCAAACATTTCAGTGTTTACAGCTGTAGCACCATCGGTCTGCAGACCCAAGAGTTCTGGAGAAATCCAGAATATGTCCAGTCTCTTCTTGTGGTTTCTAGGGTTCTCCTAGTTAAAGGTGGATCAGAAATTTTGCTGTCTAGATGCTATTTAGTTTGGATTCCTGGGTTCTGAAAGTTGTTTGGGCTTTTTTTGTTGTGTTTTAAAAACACCTCTGCAGTGCTATCCTTTCTCTTACCTCCAAAATATTTTTCTAATATAACTGAAAGAGATGCAGCAAGAAATCAGGTTACTCTTAGAGGTGGGAACTTTGCCCCTCTGTAAGATAGGAAATAGGTAAGATCCTTTTCTGAAAAGCCTGATTCCAGGAGGACTGCTGTATCCTGATAAACTGGAGATAGTTATCTACCCTCGGAGTTGTGACAACAGATCCTTTGCTTTGCATTCTTGACTTTTCTGAGGCTAATATGCATGGAGGTGATACTTCTGAGCACTGTTTTTGATACTATCACAAACACACATTTAGAAAAATCTCTTTAAGTGCATATAAGGTTCAGCGGGCTCCAAAAAATGCAGATCAAACAGGAGAGTATTTGTCCTTGTTCTGTTTTGATTTGAGATAGCAGTTGTTATAGCCTACCTACAGAAGATGTAAGTTGGTATAGCCATTTTTGGCTGATCAGGACCTTGTTCCCATGGGTAATCAGCGAGTCAATATATACGAATCTTTTTAAGTCCATGTGATTCTCTTGCTTGTTTATGTGTGTCACATACTCAGTTACAGTTGAGGCACAGTAAAGACAGTCACAAGTCTTTTTTAGGCACCTCTCAATTTAAGGCCATGTAGGTCAGGGCAGTGTTAGGTAGGGTCAGCATGCCATTCAGGAAGAAGTTATTTGATACCAGCAACTGTCTGCCAGCTCATCTTGCTGTTGCAAAATCTAATGTCTACAGGTGTAAGAAGTTTGGAATGTCCCTGTATGAAATTTATTTCTGGAGAAATTTCAGAGTCCAATTATACATATATCATGTACTGCATGTGCATGACAGATGGCCTTTGGCAAAAACACCTCCTCTGGTGGACTCTTTTCCATAAGGAATTAACTTCTGGATGCCTCTAGTTCAAATTGTTATATAGTTGTGATCAGTGTTTATGATGAAACTGTGCAGCTGTTGAGCTTGATTTCCTAGGAGAAAGTAGTGCACCAATGCTGCTGAGGAGTTTGTAAACAGATAAACTCTGTCCAAAAACTGATGTTTCTGACACCCAAAGGATGGTCATGACCCAAGGAGACACATAACACAGAATCAGTACCCTGAAGTGCCTTACATGCTTTGATTGAGAAACTACTTAAGATATTTTTCTTCCTCAGGAGATCTTACTAACCTCAACAAATAGCTGTGGAAGGGAGAACCAGCACGTACTACCTCTAGTCCTACCTGGGAGGGTTAGAATACAAATTGCTTTAAAGTTTGGGAAGGGGAGGGGTGGGTTTTGATTTATATAATCATCTGCACTGTTTGGAAAACAGAAGATATAGCCTAAAAGACCTTTTAAAAATATTTACTTTCTATGAGTGTAGAACATTAAATCAAATTATATATTTCTCTGTGTTACAGAATTCATCATTTTCAAAAAGCATAGCAGTTCTTTACCCTTTTAATATCTGGTATTACATCAAATTCTCAATTATTCTAGTATAAATTCACAATTATTCTAATTGTATTTACAAACATAATGGAGAACATTATTTGAATTACAGCTATAAAATTCTCGTTTATCCTTTTTAACTTTATTTTTGTTCCAGTAGAACAACTTTTTTCTCTCTTTTTCCATTATAGGTAGCGGAAGGAAAATTAAATGATCACTTTCCTTTGGTGGTGTGGCAGACTGGTTCTGGAACTCAAACCAATATGAATGTCAATGAAGTCATCAGCAATAGAGCCATTGAGATAATGGGGGGCAAACTGGGGAGCAAAACCCCAGTACATCCAAATGATCATGTTAACAAAAGCCAGGTTGTTATCCTCACATTATACTTTTAATGTCAGAAGTATATATTTTTTTAATTGTAAAATTTGAATTGTCTTGTAGCCACTGTTCAGATTTAAAAAAAAAAAAACCCAAACAAACACTTGTGTACAGCTTTGGCAATGACTTTCAAGGTTTTTCAGTTTAAAAGAACTTTAAAATGTTATTCAGTGACAGTATGAGCTTTTTAGATTAAAGATATTGAACTCATTCATGACAGATCAGTTCATACAGAGGTAGACTGATGACAACCACTGCTACTGCAGACAGTCTTAAAGATAGAGATCCAGTTTCTAAAGGTTGTATACTTAGCCATTTCATTTTTTTATTCCCCACTGAGCATGGTAAACATTCTTATTATAATTCACTCAATACTTTCTTCAGATTAGCTGAAGTGTAAGCCACTGACCTGGTTATATCTCTTCCTGATATTTTGTGCTTACTCCCTATTCTGGGAATGGATTTAACATTCAAAAGCAACACATAAGTGTGTTAAAGTCATCTACAGTTGCTTTGAAATCATCCATCCATTTCTTACTTGTGTCTCATAACTACTTTAGCAAGTCTTTTTCTTTTTTTTTTGGTCCCAGTGTTGTGAACAGTCTACTCATGTAGTTAACTTTTTGTGGGTATAATTATAAAAAGTTGAATTTATCAATATGGTGCTGGACTGGAGTTTAGAAGATTTGATTATTCCTGCAGATTGACTTGTGGAACATTGCTAGTTGCTTGTTTTTAGTTTATTTTTTTCTTGTTTATAAAATAGAGAATAAAGCCATACACGTATATCTTACAGCAGCAATGGTGAGAAAAACTTGACAATAAATTTCTTGAACTTCCTTCACAGAGTTCAAATGATACTTTCCCAACAGCAATGCATATTGCTGCTGCCCAGGAGGTTAATGAGGTATTGTTACCTGGACTAAAGAAGCTACAGAATGCACTTGAAGCAAAATCCAAAGAGTTTTCCCAAATCATAAAAATAGGGCGCACTCATACACAAGATGCTGTTCCTCTTACGCTTGGACAGGTAAAAAATAATAATTACATGTTTGTTTGGAAAATTCTTGCAAATGTATTGGAGGAAACTGAGGCAAACTTGAGGAGGCCTAAATTAGGTTGATAGCTTAGGAAAATTAATAGGAGACTGGCTGAATTTCAGAGTATTTTCATTTTACCGGAGTTTGCTCGATGCCATATTCTAATTACTGCATCATAAATTTTCTTAATTTTTTCCATGTGTGTTTTACTTCTAACAGTAGTAAGATATCAGTGATTTTTAATCATGTTCCATTACCAAATAACATGACGTGATACTTCCATTACACTGATACTGGAACGAAGAAGGTTAGTTAGTCTGTAATGTGTGAGCTTATATAAACAAGGTTTTGCCAATACATACTCAGTATTTTGAATGAAACATGCTTAGTGTGTTACTAAATAGCTAACTGCAGGAAGTAAGTATTTTGAATAAAAATCTTTGATATATGATCATGTGTATATATATATACATGTGATAGCAAATCTTTGTTGTCATATTGTCAAGAATGTCTTATATTAATCTGGTAATTCATTAATTTAAACTGGACTGATAAAAATCTATGTAAAATTTGTGGGTTTTCTTCCAAGAATGCACAGGTGGATTTTTTTACTAACTTAAGTGAAAAAAGCCTGGGATCTGTTTCTCTAATTGTACCTTGAGAAAATTAATTTAATCTGAGATATGATTTACTTTGGATTCAGATTCTGCTAAGTACACAACTGAGATAAAAGGAAAGAGAAAGATGCATTGTGAATACATTTATGGAGCTGTAATTGTTCATACTGTGAGAACAGTCTTGTAATATCTGTAAATTGTCCCTCTTAATGGAAACATGCTAAAATTTAACATCTGTGTGAAGTTCAGTGCCTTCAAGTGTTTAAAGAAATTAGTTCAATCATGTTAAAAAATAATTGTAGATGTTTATTCTTGGTTGTTGTCTTTGTTCCTTTATTTCGTCCCCATTTTTCAAAGGAATTTAGTGGCTATGTGCAACAAATTAAATACGGTGTGGCTAGGATTGAGTCAACCATGCCAAGAGTGTATCAGCTGGCAGCTGGCGGGACTGCAGTTGGTACAGGATTAAACACAAGAATTGGTTTTGCTGAGAAAGTTGCTGCTAAAGTGGCTGAACTGACAGGTAAGGGTTATCAGTTTGTTTCCATACTTCTCACAAGCTTATCAAATTGTCTTTATATTTTAACTTGAAACTTAATGCTGTATTTTATATGCATTATGCTTAGGATTTTTGATGGAATGTGTTTTTGTAATTATACTCAGTGCATTGAAAGTGACTGAAATTACCACGTTTTTCATAGCAGAGCTTATTGGAGATGGATACAGTTTCAAGCTTCTGCTTTTAATTCAGCTTCTGTCTGCTGCTGCTCTGACTGACAATCTACAGGGACTTGGCAGAAAAGGAAAAACAGACATCCCAAAGCCACTGCATTTTTTCACGTGGAAGTAAAGATTAGCAGTCTCATTTTTGATACTGTCTTTATTAGAGTTTAGAGCTTAATCTACAGAACCACTGTGGTTTCTTGATCTATGAACCAGTTTTTCTGTGTCACAATATTAGTTTTAAAAATGCCCCTGAAACTGCAGTATTTTTGTTTTAATGGATCAATTATTCACTGTCTCATAGAGGGTCAAGATTTTATTGTACCCTGACAGGGAAATAGTAACTTGTCATAAGCAACAGCTGCTGAGAAGAAGCATTACAGGACTTGTTTTGGCACTTGAAGAAGCTGTTGGTAGTGTTAGGGAGCTCTCTCAGCTTAATGCTTGTTAGATATACCATATGGGCAGGTTGTATGTGTTTAAAACAAGTAGAGCAGACCATTGAAGTTCCACATGTTCTTAGAGGGGAAGTTTATTTGCAAGGATAGAATGGAAAGTCTGGAATGATCTCTGCAACTTGAGAAGGCAGCTATGCAATTCAGAAGACTATGCAAATTGGGTGGGATTTGGTGTTTGGCAGGAACTGAAAAACAGTAGAAATTCTGCTGTTTCCCTAGCAAAGGGTGTTAGGCTACTCTTGTTTAAACTGGCAGTGTAAGCTCAGACCAGCAGTTTTGTGGGGTGTAACTCCAGCCCAGAGTCAGCATCCCTGTGCACATCCTTAGCGATGTCTATTACCACTGATAAAATTCTGCTGAGTCTTTTCTTCCAAGGCAAAGCCCTGAAGAAAGTTTTTTCATTATGAAACCTAGCCTTAAATCTCGGGCATTTAATTTAACATAAACAGAGGTGGTGCTTCTATTGCTCCTGAGCTCTGGCTGTTGGCAGCAGTTTCAAGCATCCTCTTGAGGCTGAATCAGTTTTCACATGTTCTGTCTGGTTTCTTGTTCCTTTCCAGTGCTGATACTTGGCTGCATCTTTTTTCTTTAAGTAGGTGATTCCATTGTGATTACTAATGTCTGCACTGTGCTACAAAAACCTCTATTTTCATAACAGAGAAGCATCACAGCAATTGACAATCTAAAGTATCTAACTTGATTTAATGAAAGAAATACCTAAGGTTGAGCTAACTTGTAAGAGGTTATTGACATTCACAAAATATTGTGGTGCAAAGCAGTGCTTAGTATGCAACGGGTTGAAAGCTTGAAATGTGTCCCTTTGTGGTGGGTAGATGCTCAAATTTCATATTATTCTGTGTTTTAATGACTTCTGTTGTCTCTTTTGTATTGTTCTGTTTAAGAAATATGTGAGGAAAGGTCTAGAGAAGATAGATGATCTTACAGTGTTAGTAATTTTTTTTTTATTACTCTAATTATGTGTTTGATTATCAGGTTTATGTCTGCAAGGAAGTGCCTCACAGGTTTAATATTTCCACCACCTCCCTGTAGGTTTGCCTTTTGTCACTGCTCCAAATAAGTTTGAAGCTCTTGCAGCTCATGATGCTCTAGTGGAACTCAGTGGAGCTATGAACACAGTGGCATGTAGTCTGATGAAAATAGCTAATGATATCCGTTTCCTGGGTTCTGGACCACGCTCTGGACTAGGAGAACTCATCCTGCCTGAAAATGAACCAGGAAGCAGCATCATGCCAGGTACAGAGAAAGCATACAGAGAAAAACTGTCCATTTCTTTTGTTTTGGACCACTAATTCTTAACAGATATTTACCAACCACCACTACAAATGTCTGTAAATCTGTGATTCAACACTTGTCAGTTTTTATGTTCTGCCATATTTTGCCACAGTTTGTGTTCATAAAAATACTTGTTTGCACAGCTGTGTATTGACAAGTATATGGGGGAGAGTGGTATCTGTAAACATATGACTTGATTAATACAGACATACTTCTCAAAACCTTGGTGTAGAATTGCAAGATCTCTACAATTTTTATGTAAAGGCTTTTCTGAAACAAGCTTTAGATGATGTAATCTATGAAGTGTAGCAATACAGTGATGTAAATTGACTTCTGTCTTTACTTCCTAGCATGACTAGTGTTACATACTCAGGTTTTCCCTTCTGCAGTGATCCCACTGTATGGGAGGATAAGAAAGGTATGAGTAATATTAGTAATCATTCCTTGCCTTTCTCTTAAAAAAGTATGTCTGTGTGAATATTGTACATCCCAAACTATTCTAAACATGCTCTTCCTGTATGATAAATTATAAAAGAAACAGGTTGTGAGCATATCTGGCTTCAAAAAAACGAGATAATTAATGTTCTTATTAGGATTATTTCTAGAAATTAAATCAATCATAAAACTTCCTTGTTAGGAGGCCACTTCTAATTTTTTTTTTTTTTTCTCCTGACAAAGGAAACATACTGTACTAATTCTATTACAAAGTAATTCTAACAAATTGGGAATACTTTTCTTAAGTTGACTGAGATCTGGTAGTGATTTACCACAAATGCCTACTTGCACGAGGAGAGGTTATCATCTGTTGACTATTAAGAACTTTGGTAATTAACAGCTGATCCATCTCTCAAAGTCTTTGTAGATGGCTAAAGCAGCCATGCCTGCTTTAAAAATCCTAGTTGAATTACTGGAATAGTACAGTCAATTTAATGTAATTCATGGAAATTACTACTTTTCTGTGGTGCACAGATACAAATGAGTAAGACACGTTAACCTTGTACAAAACATCTTTTGTTGAGTATGATTTGGTAAATGAGAAAGCTACTGGGATTTGGTTGGGTTGTTTTTTCCTGCCTCCTTCTTTGGCAACCTTTTTCTCTCTTCCACAACCAGGAAAAGTGAACCCTACCCAGTGTGAGGCTGTAACCATGGTGGCAGCCCAAGTTATGGGAAATCATGTTGCTGTCACTGTAGGAGGTAGCAATGGACACTTTGAACTGAATGTTTTTAAGCCCATGATGGTAAGTTCATAAAGTTTTAAATACGTATGTCTTTTTAAGTCATTGTTTGTACAAACAGGTAACTCATGGGAAAAAAACTCAGTGGATATTTAGTCAATACAAGCACCAGAGAAGCTGATAAATATTGAGAACAAATTTTATTCTTTTGTATTGTGTCTGTTATTTTGACAGGGAACTGGCAATCTTTTACATGAAACTATTTTATGCAGATAAGATTTTATCTTAACAATAGATGCTTATCATCAGTCGAAGGAACCAGGAAGAGAGGAACACAATCTGAAACTAAATATTATCCAAAGCAAGAGAACTTGGTGTTTTAGCTGAACATTTAGATTTTTTTTTTCATGTATTTTTTACTTGGTTATTTGCAAACTGTTCTAACAATGTCTGTACATACTGTGGTGGTCTTCATGCAAAAATGCTTCTCACAAAGTTCTTTTACATAGGAGTGGCTGACCTTACCCTGCAGAGGAAGGAAGATGTACTACTATTCACTGTACTCCTTTTCTACAGATGGTCCATTAAATAAGTGGATATTGGTGAAGCAGCACTGGTTATGAATAAGTGCTTGGTTGTGCAGCTATTAATTTCTGAATGTAATAGTTGTTTGTTTGTTGGTTTTTTTTTCTTAGATTAAAAATGTTTTAAACTCTGCAAGACTTCTTGGAGATGTTTGTAGTTCTTTCACTGACAACTGTGTAGTTGGAATTCAGGCCAATATGGACAGGATCAACAAACTAATGAGTGAATCTTTGATGTTGGTAACAGCACTGAACCCACATATCGGTATGGTTTAAGGCTCAGAAACTTCTCAGAACATTATACTGAAATATTTGTGTTAATGTTATTTTGCACTCATTATTTCTGTTGTCACAATGTTTAGGAGACCAAGTCATGGCTCAGGCCAAAAGTTTAATTTACTCTAACATCACTAGCTGCTATTACTGTTGAAAAAGATGTGTCCTCCTTGCAGTGGACGTACCACTGCATTATAAAAATAATTCTGACTAGGGTAAAAAAAAAAAATCAGGAGATTGCAAAAATCTGTGTGCCTGATTTGGCCACCGGTAATGAAAAGTGAAAGATTACAATGAGGTTGGCTTTTTTTTAAGAGGAGGTCATGTAAAACTTTGATCTAAATGCATTAAGACCAGAATTTACCTTAAGTAAGGAGTTGGTGTAAATGTTTGGTGGCATTTACTGCAAATGGACTTAAGCAGTAATAGCAATATCTAGAAAATTAATTCCAAAGGCCAAGCATCCAACTTTTTTCTCACCTCTAACAAATCTTCCGATATTGTAAATGGCTAACTGGTTTTTGTTTTGTTCCAGGATACGATAAAGCAGCCAAGATTGCCAAAACTGCACACAAAGAAGGGACGACATTAAAAGAAGCTGCTATAAAGCTGGGCTTCCTGACGTCAGAGCAGTTTGATCAGTGGGTGAAGCCTAAAGATATGTTAGGTCCTCAGTAACTTCTGTACAAAACCAAAGTGTTCTTAACATAAAAAATAAATAAAACGGATACGGTACGCTTTTGTTTGACGTTTTCTTAAGAGATCAGATGAACTGATTTTATTAGGTTTTTTATATTGGAAAATAAGTAAATACTGATGTAACTGAAGAGGAATGCCCCTCGGAAGCGCCAGCCCCCTGCCGGGGCGGTGCCGTTACTCCGCCTGTGCTGGGGGAGGCGCGGGCTCCGCCTCGGCCCAGCCGCCTCTCCCTCCGCGAGCCCAAGCGGCCAATCGCCGCCACCGCGAGCCGGGCGGAAGCTCGG